CCAGGGGCTGGGGAGGCTGAGGCAGGAGGATCACCAGTTCAAAGCCAGCCTCAGCAAAAGTGAGTTGCTAAGCAACTCAGAGAGACCCTGTCTCTAAATAAAATACCAAATAGGTCTGGGGCTGGGGCTCAGTGGTCGAGGGCCCCTGAGTTCAATCCCCAGAACTCCCCCCACCAAAAGAAAGAAAGAAAGAAAAGAAAGAAAAGAAAGAAAGAAAGAAAGAAAGAAAGAAAGAAAGAAAGAAAGAAAGAAACCAGATCTTTCCGGGATCCTTTATCTATTCTCCACTTCTTTAGATTCAGATGCTGAGGAATTAGTGAGAAGAGGTTCTACCATCAAATGGAAGCCTTCTGTGTGTCACACTCTGCCTCCAATCTTACGGCCCATTTAAAATGGCTTTCATTTCCCCTTTCCCAAAGGGAGACTGAGGTTCAGAGAAGGCAATATTTCACCCCAGCCCACACAGCTCAGAGTGGTGAAGAGGAGATTGGAATCTGGGCAGGTGTGGAGCCTGTGTGTCCAGTGGGTGACCAGTGTTGGGTGCTGCGTTTCGTGGAGTGTGTAGGGGGGTCACTAGCGACCCTCCCCTAGTCTGGCCGGTCCCACCATCCCTACCTCCCTGCCTGTATAGGGAGCCTGGGGCACCTTACTGAGGCCATTCCAGACGGTTCCCCACATGTCACCAGCCCTGGGGCTCCATCCTGTGACCCTCCCCCACCTTCCCTGCCCCAGGAGTCCCCTCCAGCCGCTGCCAGCACACTCCGGGAGGGCGGGGTACTCGGAACCAGAGGAGGGAGCAGGCCCGCGGGGGACCCTGTGGCGCCCACGGCTCCCGGCCCTGCGCCGGCGGGACTCTGCACTCCTTGGGCGCTAGGGGGCAGTGTGTCCGTTCCCAAGAAACTGCGCGGCCCCGGCAGGGAGGCACAGGAGGGGCGCCCACGCCGTGCACAGACACGCCAGCGCCTCCCCGGCCCCGGCCGGGCACGGGCACAGGCACACGGCTCGCACCTGCCGAGAGGGACAAGGACACACGCGAGCAGGGGCGCAGGCAGATGCCCACGCAGATCCCAGAGCGGGGCGCCCCCGGGCTGGGGCGCAAGACAGAGCTGCCACGCAGCCCCGGCACGGCCCCGCCGCCACGGACAGACACACAGAAGGCCTGGGAGTGTCACCCGGGGAAGACGCAGTGCAGGACGCGGCCACACGCCCCGCACAACATGCCCAGTGTTCAAGAAAGGCGACTCAGACACACACCCGGACAGAAACACGGCGGCCCCACACACCCTCCTTTCACACACACACACCGCGCAGAGCCGAGTCTTGGAAACGGCCCCAGAAAAATACTCCCACACCCCCCTCCCTGGGGCGCACAGAGTTATTCCACAGGAAACCTGCCCAGGTGTGCAGGGGACCCCCGCCCGCCGGCGTGAAGTCATGGCTCTCCCCGGGCGGCAGGCCAGCCCTCCCCACCCCCACCCCTCCAGGCCCGGGCGGGTCCCCACTCTCCCGTCGCACACGGCTGCCTCCTGGTACACTCACAGTCCAGAGCCAAGTGGTGACCTGGTGTCATCGACTCTGCACAGGCCTTTGCCCGGGAGGGGTGCTCCTCACGGCAGCCATTCATCCCCCCACTGGGCCCCCTTCCTGCCCAGGAGGTCCCCGTCTCCCCTGCTGTGGCCCAGGAGCCCTGGGAAGGGGTCACCAGAGGCCTTCTCAGGTCCTTAATTTCTTTGTGCCTAAATCAGCCAAGCCCCAGTCTTCTCTCGGGCCCTCCCTTTCCTGTCACTTTGCTAAGTAATAATTTCCATGTCCAATTCCATTTCTTCTCTAGTTCTGAAACCTCTAAGCTATCAGCAAGAGGATAGTTCACATGAAAACTAATTACACAAAATCAATATTTAATCACAGACCAACAACCTGATCCTGCAGAAAAATCCTTTTAAAACTCCACCACCCTGTACAAATACTTCTTCCTGGTGCTTATTTATGGGCCCCATTTTTTGGTGGGGGTGATTTTCATTTTTAATTTCAAAAAGAAAAAAATATAGATTATCTGTGGACTCCAGGAAGGACCTTGGACCTGAGCTTGCTTCATCTTTGAGTTTTAAAGTTGTTGGGTTTTAGTATTTGTTCTTTTTTTTTTTTTTTTTTTGAGGGGGGTTCTTGGGAAGTCCCTGGAGAGTCTGCCCCCTGCCGCTCCCTCCTCCCACCTCCTAAGTTGAGCCCTATTTTCCAGCGTCACCTTGCTGGCTGAAGCTCCGGGGGAGCCATGAATCGGTGCGCGCACGACATGGTAACTTTTTAACTCGCGCCGGCGACTGTGGAGTGCTTAATCCGAGGTTTTTAAATAAAAAGGGCTCAGGGGTTGGTTTTATTATAACGTTTATTTCATTTCAGATTTCATGCGCAATTTAGCAAACGCTAGACAGACTTGGGCGATAAACACTTTCTTTTGTGGGGGGGAAGGAGGCATTTTATACACCATGCTTAATTTTATTTAGATTTAATAGCGATATCAGGGCCCTCCAAAGAAAGTTCTGTTTGTTTTCCTCCCTTTCTCCTAAGAGTGTAGGTCTGTTAGCCAGATCGCCTGGTGCAATTTTATGGCAAAGAAAATGAAAGGCCTCTCCCTGCTCCCGTCTCCTACTTACTCTTCAGAGCGGAAAACACACGCACGCACGCACACACACACAGGCTCGCGTGGGCACGGACACACGCACCCAGAATAAACACTATCCTCCATCACCTCCAACTTTCAACTTCTAATTGCAAGATAGATTTCAGCCTCGGTGGGGATCAGGAAGATCTAAACATTTTAACTAAGATTATTGGGATAAATATTTCATAAAGAGCAGGGCAGATATTAAATTACTCCTATTGATTTTAGTATCACAACCCAATTCCGTTCTTTGGCCTCTTCAGTTTAATTGATCTCTTAAGGAGGCCAACTTCGCGCCGGGAGAGGGCCTGGGCCTTGGCCCTGGTGGCTGGAGCAAGGTGCTGCGGCCGACCCGTGCGCCCTTTACGCGCGGGTCTTCTCGAGGCTCCCAGCCGCTGAGGCTATGGCCTGGCCGCTCCCGCGCTGGGCTCCTCGGATGTCCCCCCCCCCCGCATCCCCGCATGAAGTGGCAGAGTGATCGTGGCTCCTCCAACCCAAGCCAGAGGCTGAGAACCGGAAACCCCAGACAGTGGCAATAAGGGACAATTATGCGTGCCCTGGTAAAGGAGGAAAGAGCAAGAGCCGGGGTCTCTCCAGGAGAACCCTAACTTCGGGGTTCCGGGTCTGCTTTAACCTCCAGCAAAATCCCCAGCCGGGCCAGCTCGGGCGCCGCCAGTGGAGAGCAGAGGGAGGTTTCACCCCTCGGCTGAGGAGCAGCAGACACTTAGAGACTTTCCGTGGCGCGTCCAGGGGCTTTGCCAGGCGACCCCATTGTCTGAGCGCCCCGCACCGCTCGCCGCCCACCTCCCCGCCCCCTGCCCACCCGGCAGGTCTCGCTCCAGTTGGGGGTGGGGAGTTGAGAACAGTGTGAATGGGAAGGGGGGTGAACAAAGCCAAGCTCCCGCCATTCTCCTCCGCCCGCGCCCTCTCCAGCCGCCCGCGCCCGGAGGCCAGGACGCGCCCCCAGTGCACTGGCGCCGGACCCCGAGGCGAGGCGGGAGCAGGGGACCCCAGCGCCGGGGTAGTGCGGGTCCGTGGCGGGGGCCTCAGCAGCCAGGACCCGGGACCACCTTAAGAGCGAGCCCCGCCCCGGGCCCGGAGCTTGGGCGGCGCTGATTGGTGCAGATGTAATGGCTGAAATTGATTGCTGAAATGCAAAACTTGTTGCTGCTTCTCCCGGCGCTGGGCGAGAGGCAGACAGAGAGGGGAGCCGAGACCCTCCGAACGCCCCACGCAGAGCCCCCCCGCCAGCCTGGAGCGGGGTGCGCGGACCCCCCAGAGCTGCTCCCGCCCCCCTCCCCGTTCCCGGCTCGGAGAGCGCAGCCGGAACGCCTCGGCTCGCCGGCCCCGCGCGGCCCCCAACCCGCGTACGCCCCCCTTCCCCGGGTCCGAGGGGGACTCGCAGAGCACCTCGGCGCGGCGGCAGGGAACCGGAGCTTCGGAGCCACCCAACCCTTCGCCTCTGTACTCGCCCGAGCTTGCAGCGGGACGCGGAGACTCCCGCGAACTCAGACACCGAACGGCCGAGGGCAGAAGCAGCGGGCGGCGGACGTGGCCGAGCAGCGGCGCGCTGGGGCGCAGCGCACCCGCCGCCGGGCAGGGGAGCCGCGCCTTTCCCCCGACCCTCCGCTCCAATCCCGGCGCCTGCCGCCTCCCCAGCCCCGCTGCTTCCTCGGCTCGGGGGCCGGTACCGACGATGCCGAGCGGAGCCTCCAGACCTCCGACCCGCTGAAGAAGCAGCAGCCGTTCGCCCGGGGCCGGCGGGGACTGTGCGAGCGGATCGTGCTCGGCCGAGGCTCGGGCTGCCGGGCGCAGGGACTCCGGGGGGAGGGGGGAGGGCCTCTCGGTCGGTGCCCCCACGCCAGCCGCGGCTTTTAAGGGTCTCCCTCCCGGCCCCTAGCAGCTCCACGCGGACTCSGGGAGGCTGCGGGCGGCGTCCTGGGGCTCCCCCACCGACCCGATCGGACTTAAGAAGGTGATTGCTCGGCTTTCCCAACCCCCTTCCCGCCCCHTTTCCCCCACTTAACTTTTTGTCTACGTTCGCCCGCGGCCCGGTCCCCTCCCCGCAAACCCACCCGCGGCTGTGCCAACCGCCTGGGGCATGGGCCCCCCCACGCGGCTCCTGGAGGCCCCGCGGCCTCGCAAGATGTGAGAGGCCCGCCCCGGGCAGATCCAGAGCTTCGGGAGAGGAGCGGAGAGCCCCCAGCCTCCCCACGCCTGGCGGGGTGGCGGTGCGCGCTGCGCCCCCGCGGTGCCGAGCGTCCCGTAGCGCCCAATCCTGGGCTGGAACGCGTAGCTGGCCGGAGGCGCGCCACGGAGAGCAAGCTGTCATGCCCTATTGATCCCCCCTTGCCCCCCGCCAAGTATGTTTGGGCTGGACCAATTCGAGCCCCAGATCAACAGCAGGAACGCTGGCCAGGGCGAGAGGAACTTTAACGAGACCGGACTGAGCATGAATGCCCACTTTAAGGCTCCTGCTTTTCACACGGGGGGGCCCCCTGGCCCCGTGGACCCTGCCATGAGCGCGCTGGGCGAGCCCCCGATCTTGGGCATGAACATGGAGCCATACGGTTTCCACGCGCGGGGCCACTCGGAGTTGCACGCAGGGGGGCTGCAGGCGCAGCCCGTGCACGGCTTCTTCGGCGGTCAGCAGCCTCACCATGGTCACCCGGGAGGCCACCACCCCCACCAGCATCACCCCCACTTCGGGGGCAACTTCGGCGGCCCAGACCCGGGGGCCTCGTGCCTGCACGGGGGTCGCCTGCTTGGCTACGGAGGCGCGGCCGGCGGCCTGGGCAGCCAGCCGCCCTTCGCAGAGGGCTATGAGCACATGGCGGAGAGCCAGGGGCCGGAGAGCTTCGGCCCGCAGCGCCCTGGAAACCTCCCGGACTTCCACAGTTCAGGTGCCTCGGGCCACGCCGTGCCTGCCCCCTGCCTGCCGCTGGACCAGAGCCCTAACCGGGCCGCATCTTTCCACGGCCTGCCCGCCTCCAGCGGCTCCGATTCCCACAGTCTGGAGCCCCGGAGGGTGACGAACCAAGGAACCGTCGACTCCCTGGAATACAATTACGCGGGCGAGGCGCCCTCGGGACATTTTGACATGTTTTCGCCCTCCGACTCCGAGGGGCAGCTGCCTCATTATGCAGCGGGTCGTCAGGTTCCCGGGGGCGCTTTCCCGGCTGCCTCGGCCATGCCCAGAGCCGCGGGCATGGTGGGCTTGTCCAAAATGCACGCCCAGCCACCGCAGCMGCCACCGCAGCAGCCACAGCAGCATGGCGTGTTCTTCGAGAGGTTTGGCGGGGCCCGGAAGATGCCTGTGGGTCTGGAGCCCGGGGTAGGCTCTAGGCACCCGTTAATGCAGCCTCCCCAGCAGGCCCCGCCACCCCCCCAGCAGCAGCCCCCGCAGCAACCGCAACAGCAGCAGCAGCCTCCGCCACCCGGGCTTCTGGTCCGACAAAATTCCTGCCCGCCTGCTCTCCCGCGGCCCCAGCAGGGCGAGGCTGGCACGCCCAGCGGAGGCCTGCAGGACGGGGGTCCCATGCTGCCCAGCCAGCACGCGCAGTTCGAGTATCCCATCCACCGGCTGGAGAACCGGAGCATGCACCCTTATTCCGAGCCTGTTTTCAACATGCAGCATCCCCCTCCGCAGCAGGCGCCCAACCAGCGGCTGCAGCATTTCGACGCGCCCCCCTACATGAACATGGCCAAGAGGCCGCGCTTCGACTTCCCGGGCAGCGCAGGAGTGGACCGCTGTGCTTCGTGGAATGGTAGCATGCACAACGGCGCTCTGGACAACCACCTCTCGCCCTCCGCCTACCCGGGCCTCCCTGGCGAGTTCACTCCTCCTGTGCCCGACAGCTTCCCCTCCGGGCCTCCCTTGCAGCACCCAGCCCCCCCGGACCACCAGTCCCTGCAGCAGCAGCAGCAGCARCARCARCARCAGCARCARCAGCAGCAGCAGCAGCAGCARCARCARCARCAGCAGCAGCAGCAGCAGCAGCAGCAGCAACAGCGCCAAAATGCGGCCCTCATGATTAAACAGATGGCTTCGCGGAATCAGCAGCAGCGGCTGCGCCAACCCAGCCTGGCCCAGCTAGGCCACCCAGGGGACGTGGGCCAGGGTGGCCTAGTCCACGGCGGTCCGGTGGGTGGCTTGGCTCAGCCGAACTTTGAGCGCGAAGGCGGCAGCGCGGGTMCGGGGCGCCTGGGCACCTTTGAGCAGCAGGCGCCGCACTTGGCACAGGAGAGCGCGTGGTTCCCAGGCCCACACCCGCCGCCAGGAGACCTGCTGCCCCGCAGGATGGGTGGTTCCGGCCTGCCCACTGACTGTGGTCCGCATGACCCCAGCCTGGCGCCTCCCCCTCCGCCCGGGGGCTCTGGCGTGTTGTTCCGGGGCCCTCTGCAGGAGCCGCTGAGGATGCCCGGGGAGGGCCACGTGCCGGCGCTGTCCTCGCCGGGCCTCCAGTTCGGGGGCAGCCTGGCTGGCCTGGGCCAGTTGCAGTCGCCTGGGGCCGGGGTGGGGCTGCCCAGCGCCCCTTCGGATCGCCGGCCCCCACCGCCGGACTTCGCTGCGCCAGCCCTGGGGGGCCAGCCGGGCTTTCCGTTTGGCCCAGGGAGCCGGCAGGCCACTCCGCACAGCGGTCCCGGCGTGAACTCACCCCCAAACGCAGGCGGGGGCGGCGGCAGCTCCGGCGGCGGCGGCGGCGGGGGCGCTTACCCGCAGCAGCCGGATTTCCAGCCCAGCCAGCGCACCTCGGCCAGCAAGCTGGGCGCGCTCTCTTTGGGCTCCTTCAATAAACCCAGCTCCAAGGACAACCTGTTTGGCCAAAGCTGCCTGGCTGCGCTCTCCACGGCTTGCCAGAACATGATCGCCAGCCTCGGGGCCCCCAACCTCAACGTGACCTTCAACAAGAAGAACCCACCCGAGGGCAAGAGGAAACTGAGCCAGAACGAGGCCGACGGCACTGCCGTGGCCGGCAACCCGGGCTCGGATTACTTCCCGGGGGGGACTGCTCCTGGGGCCCCAGGACCAGGAGGCCCATCAGGGACCAGCAGCAGCGGCTCCAAGGCCTCGGGGCCGCCAAACCCGCCCAGCCAGGGGGACGGCACCAGTCTCTCTCCCAACTACACCCTAGAATCAACGTCGGGGAACGATGGCAAGCCGGTCCCCGGGGGAGGTGGCCGGGGACGGGGTCGCAGAAAAAGGGACAGTGGTCACGTGAGTCCTGGGACCTTCTTCGACAAGTACTCAGCGGCTCCGGACAGCGGGGGCGCGCCTGGGGTGAGCCCAGGACAGCAGCAGGCTCCAGGCGCGGCCGTCGGGGGAAGCTCTGTGAGCGACACGCGCGGGGCGCCCACGCCCCACGAGAAGGCACTCACGTCGCCGTCGTGGGGGAAGGGGGCGGAGTTGCTTCTGGGGGACCAGCAGGACCTCATGGCGTCCCTGGACGGTGGGGCCAAATCGGATGGTAGTTCACCGCACGTGGGTGAGTTCGCCTCGGACGAGGTGAGCACCAGCTATGCCAACGAGGACGAGGTGTCGTCCAGTTCCGACAACCCCCCGGCCCTGGCCAAAGCCAGCAGGAGTCCCCTGGTGACCGGCTCGCCCAAACTCCCTACTCGAGGGGTGGGCGCCGGGGAACACGGACCCAAGGCGCCCCCGCCCCCACTCGGCCTGGGTATCATGTCTACCTCTTCCTCGACCCCCGACAGCTACGGCGGGGGCGGGGGCACTGGCCATCCGGGCACGCCGGGTCTGGAGCAGGTCCGGACCCCCACGAGCAGCAGCGGTGCGCCCCCACCCGACGAGATCCACCCCCTGGAGATCCTCCAGGCGCAGATCCAGCTACAGAGGCAGCAGTTCAGCATCTCCGAGGACCAGCCCCTGGGGCTTAAGGGTGGCAAGAAGGGCGAGTGTGCCGTCGGGGCCTCAGGTGGGCAGAATGGAGACAGCGAGCTGGGCAGCTGCTGCTCCGAGGCCGTCAAGAGCGCCATGAGCACCATCGACCTGGACTCACTGATGGCAGAGCACAGCGCCACCTGGTACATGCCGGCTGAAAAGACCCTGGTGGACGGCGCKGACGAGGATAAGACGCTGGCGCCCTGGGAGAAGGCCAAACCCCAGAACCCCAACAGCAAAGAAGGTATATGCGCACGCGCTCCCTCTCCTTTCCGGGTGACCCGCCCCATCCGCTGGGCAGGCCTTAGCCCCCGCCCCTCGGGTCCCTCAGGGCTTGGAGGGCGCAGGGCCCAACTCAGAGCTGGGTACCCCTCCTTCGGTTACATCAAGAGCCGAGGGGATGCCCACCACCAGGTGCTGCCAGGTAGATTCTGTCTCCGCAAGATGGTAAGAACTTAGATGTCACCCTCTGGGGAAATCTTGGCAGAGTCSCACGCACTAACCCTCTGTCCCCAGCCCCCCACTTCTAGCTGGGCCATCGGGCAGTGCACAGAGAAGCAGGCCACTTCTTTTTCACACCCAGACCCCCCTTCACSCTCCACATTCAGGCTGGTGTCCCTTCTTAGGAGTTGTGTGTGTCCCCTTTCCTGGCAGGACACCTGGAAAGTTCTGTCCGGGTCTCCCCACCTTTTCCTAGTTAGCCAGCCTGGGCTCTCAGGTGACGGCATCTCCACAGAAAAAGTTGCTAACCTTGGTGTCGGGCAGCGTCACGCAGAGACAAGGCCTCGCTGGACATCAGCTCCTAAATGAAGAGCTGTTTTGTCCTCTTCTTGACTATCAGAGTTTCACTAGAAAACAGCCCAAACCTGGAGACCTGGCCGGCTGCAGGAGGCAGGCCACCTCCCCAGGAGGCCTCTCCTTGACATGTGATGGCAGTGTCCTGGGGCTGGGGTGAGGTCTGCTTGGCAGAGACCAGACTCTTCCATTAGGAAATCATTTGTGGATGGGGATATGTATATATATTCCTAAGACACAAAGGACCCGCGTTTGTCAATATCTCGCTTGGCTTTGGTGACAGATGTCCRGTCCCACTTCTCCTTAGCATTCTAAGCACCCCTCTCACCAGGCCTGGAGGCCTTAAGGTGGGAGGGGCCGGGGCTGGTCCTTGGAGCCCTGTTCCCGCTAAAGTAGTAGCAGTTCTTTCAGCCTAAAGATGCCCGGGCCATAATAGGTCTCCATTTTATTTTAATGAGGCTTTATTAGAAAAATAGAGCTAGTAGTTTCTTAAAATTAGGTAACACCAGCCTCCTCCTCCTCCTCCTCCTCCTCCTTTTTTAAAAATTTTTTTACCTTTTTTCTTTGAAGCCCTAGTTGAATTCCTGGGGTTTCACAGGGTAGAATATTTCCATGGTGTCAGGAGCTGGTGACTCAGTGCTGTCCTTTAAAACCAGGTGCCCTGATCTTTGGTCTGGCTTGGAGTTTTTTCCCTTCTCCTTCCTTAGCCCATGTCCCCATGTCYGGCCATCTCTTGCCCCTGGGTTTTGGGTGAGGGTCAGTTTGGAAAGGGGGGAGGGGACGGGAGTGGATCCCGGAGCCAGGGGGTCAGAACTGGGGATTTGGAGGCGCCCATGGCGGAGGACGACGTCCCCCCTAGGTTTTCCCGTTCCTGAATGAGGAGGCCCTGGCTGGCTTTTCTCTTTGTTCCCGGTCCCTGCCCAGCCTGGGACGCAGGGACGCGCGCTCTCATTTGAAGCCTGGTGTTTAGCATGCAGGGCAGACGCCTCGGCCGCCGGGCATGGGCATTCTGCAGGCTGCTCCCAGGCAGGGCCGTAAATTGGTTAGTTGGGGACCCTGGGCCCTTTTTTTTTTCTTCCCTTTTCCCCCTTTTTAAAATGGAGTTGGACACGGCATCCTGCTGGCCGCACCCCCTCCCCCTTTTCTCTTTTATTTTCTTGTACACAACATCTCGATCTGGCCCGATCGATAGCTGGTTAGCACAAATCTCAGCCCTGTCACTTCTACCTGGCCTGGCCTGGCCGTCCTCCCCTCGCTGCTCCCCCACCCTTCCGTAATTAGGAACATATTGGTCAAAATGGGTGAGAAAAGTTTAAAAAAAAACACACACCACAGTCACCCAATTTAGAGAATTAGTAAGGAAGACCAGTGGCCCTTGCCATCCCTAGTAGAGGGCCCTACCAGGTGGAGAAGTCTGTGGTGGCTTTAATGAGATTTTTTTATGTTCAGCGGCTCTCCCGCCCAGCCGCTGCCATCCCTTCCTTCACTGGGAAGGGGCCGAGAGGCAGCCTGGGAAGGAAGAAATGTCACTAGAGAATGTTTTGTTTTGTTTGCTTCATTATCACAGAGGAGAAAAAAATATTTGGGGGAACAGACGCTGGTCTCCTTAGGCTGGAGGGTCCCCTCTGGGCGCCCGAGGCCCTCCCCTGTGTCTGAGAAGACAGGGGGCTTCCTTGGGGACCCGCGGGTCTGGCCGCCTTCTAGGCCTGGCGGGGACACCCACTTGACCTCCTTTGTCTTCCCTGCAGTGTGGGAAGGTTTTCCTGGAGAAGGCAGGGGGCCGAGGCTCTTGGCGCTCCTGTGGCCTTGGAGCTGCTAGTGGAGGCTTTATAAGGTACCTGCCTCCCGGCTGCTCCCTTCCTGCTAGTAAATAAGGATGATTAAACTTTTCATTAGGATCGCACCCTCCAGTCCCATCTGCACGCGGCGTATAAATAGGTGCGTTGAGCTTTCCACAGGCCCCCGAGTCCCTAGACTGAAAATCAGAGTGAAGTGTGCCACTTGGAAACAGAGTCAGGGGAAAAAAAAAATTAAAGCCAAAAACCATTCTGCCTTTCCTTAATCCACGTGCCCCGGGTCCCCTTAGCCAGTGTCTCTGTGTCTACCTTGTCCGGGTTCCAGGCCAGCAAGCCCTCTGCTCGCCCTCCCACCCCCTTGGAAGCAGAGCCCGTTTTTGTAATGATATTTTATTTTGTCACACCGTAAAACACGCCAGTACTAATGTGATTAAATATTAACACCGTTTCTGAAATTCCCCGCTCCGATGACAAAATACTAGTCGGTATTTAACAAAATGATCCGTGCTCRGATTGGAGGAACGAATCGTTGTTCAGAACTGTCCAGGACGTGTAGCCACAGGGACGTGCCCGGAGTGTCTTATGGGCTTGGGATGTCCTTCGCAGGGGAAGAAACTTGATTGGCAAGTTGTAGGTCTGGAAGCGCCTGGGCCAGAATCGCATGTGATTTCACGATTTCCTAARCCAGGAGAGCAGGCCTCTGGGAACCCGCCTCCCCTGACTTCCTCCCGACCCACCCGACAACTTTTATATCATGAGACTCTGCATGGGATCCTGAGGTGGCACAGAGTTGGGGTGGGGGAAGGGTGAGATGATCCTGGGGGGGGAACTAGCCTGAGTTTGGACCCGTTCAACAGGGGGGATGTGAGCTGCAGAATACTTTGCAGGACCCACCACCTGTCTTGCTGAGGAGGGGTTGTGTGGGGGGGGCTCTGGAGGAAATTCCAGAAGAGAGAAAGAAAAATCAGGGTAGAACAGAGATCGTGGATGTGAAGTTGGAAAAAATGATGCTTTTCAAAACTCTGAGCTCAACGTCTGCACTCACTCCTGCCAGACCCCCTTTCAGTGGGGAGTCCTCCGCCTTCAGACCCAGGGCGGCCTGGAGGGGTCCTTCCCACACACTGACACCGGAGTGATGTCAGGGTCTGCTCTCCGTCCCTGATCTGGCCCTTTTTGGAAGTCCGATGTTTTTCCAGGGATGTGGGAGAAAATTTTTGGAATGTCATGCTTCTCTCCCAGCGTTCCACAAGGAACAGAGTCAGGCAGGCCTGAGAAAGACGAGGCGGGCGGGAATTTCTTCCGACGTGGGGCAGGGAGGGTAGAGGTCCCAGCCTCCCAGCCCAGAGCTGTTTTCCCGAGTCCTTCCCCCCCACACCCTCCCCACACCAGGCAGAGAATTTTTAAGGCTCACATTCTCAAACTTGCTTGGGAGGAGCCAGGGACACCAGAGTCCCCGCTTCCCGGGAGATCACCCAGCGCGCATGCCTTCCCGTGACTTTTGTGCCTCTGGAAGATGTAACCCAAAACTTCGCAGGTGTTAATCAGGGCTGATGGAAACAGATAGGGGCTCCCTTTGTGCAGCTGACTTGGGGAGCCGCTCCCTGGCTCGCCTCGGCCATCCCACTCCTGTTCCTTGGTGCTTATTCAATATTTCATGGCTGACATAAACCTGTCTTCTTGATCCGCCTCCCGACATAAAACCCCAACCCAGAATACATCTGCGATTCTGTATTTCTACTAAATATTAATAAAGGACAACGATGTTTTAAGGGGCTGAAGCTTAGCGGGGTCGAACTTCTCGTGGTTTCTGCTACTGAAATTGTCTGCCTGTTTGGATTCTCAGTGTCCACCACCTTCTCCTGGGCCCTACGTGCCTGGACCTTCTCCTCCCTCTGCCGACAGACAACTTTTCGTAGATGGCCAGGCTTTCTCGGGATAGCTTCCTCTCCTATAAATTTCATTTCGATTTCTTGGGAGGGCCCCTCCAGACCGGAAGCAGGAGACTGTTGGAATGTTCTCCTGTTTTATTGAGGGATCTAGGAAAGACGCGTGGGTTGGTTCATCTAATTTCGCTCTCTAGCAATGAAATTCTATGATTCCTGATATGATTTTGTTTGCCCGACAGAGGTACTTAAATTTCCACAAAGAGTCTTAATAGGTCCTGAAAATAGGGTTCCTCTCGCCAAGAAGTTACTCGATACCCTCCGCTGATAGAAAATAGACATCTTTAATAAACAGCCCGGGAGGGCCAGGGGAAACTGGAGGAGCCCGCTCTCCCCCCCGTGGCAGGGCCGAGTCGCTGGGATTTCACGGGATCTCCTAAACTCGCTCTGTGCCGCAAAATTGAGCAAACCACTGGTGGCCCCTTTCTCTCCACTTGAGTGACAATGACGTTGGATTGTGTTCCTTGCTCAGGGGAGCGATCTGCGTTACCGAAAGTGTTTAGGAGCTAAATGCTCTCAGTCAGGAGTACTGTATTTACCTCTGTTTGGTTAATTTTAGAGATTAAAAGGCTGAAGCTTTATATAATAGGATCAAGTGTCTGGGAACATGTGAGGACAGGCAGGCCTTCCCGGCACATGGCACCGGGAAAACTCCAAATCCCGCCCCGGCCAGGGGTCCTCCATTGATTGGGGTACTCCCCCGTCATGGG